AGGAATTAGCGTGAAAAATTGCATCGAATGATATATAATTTACAGCAGCTTTTTAGGAAAAAATTATAAGTTTTCGTGAAAGGCTAAATTTGAGGCAGCGCCGTGGTACTTGAGGCCAGTGGTTTTTATATCGTTAGAAAAGAGATCTGGAGGCCTACAAATAATTGTTTTATAGGTTTCCGAGTACGACTGATTCAATGGACTTATTCAAAAAATTGCAAACTGGTTTTGCAAAGGTTTTTTATAGGCCGGATCTCTGGAAAACCCTTAAAACATGAATTTTGAACTTTGCCAGTGACTCCATTAGAAAGAGCACACTCGAAAACCTACAAAAACATATCTGAGAGATCTTTCCAGCGCTTTAAAATCCAATTTTGAGAAAATAGTAAATGAGACAGGACTTCTGGGCCACCTTTTATATAGTGTATTTTTAATATTTACTTTTCATCTTCGTTTTTAAGCTTTCGAACAGTCTAATTCATCATCAGAAAAATGCAGAGCATAAACAGAGAGCTATAAAGAGAGATGTTATTTATACACGAAACTTGTACATATAAAAGAACATATGAAACAGTCCGTATGACGGTAGTTAAACTAAAAGGAACACATGATGATACTAACAGACAAATGAAAGAAATAACAGAATAAAAGTAAATTGTAAAAAGGACTAGAGAATGAGAGATATGGGTTATTTCATTTTTATTTTAGTTCTTTGACTAACACATCCTTGTGGGTGTGTTTATAGTAGATTTCTGGAACGTGACGCTGAGACAAAAAAAGGTCCTTTTTTGTTGGTATCTGGGGATGTTTGAAAATTTTCAGGGAAAATCACCGGTGAAAATTTCTGTTTGCAAGCGGTTATGTCAAGGAGAGAATGGTCTACACGTTAATAAAACAATTTCACTGCAGGATCCTCGTGGATCGCAGAAACCTTATTTTATTATCGTGGCCCTGTGACCTTTTTCGTGACGCTGCAACACTTTTTTTTGGGAGAGCAGCGCCTGGTACTCAGCACGACGAAAAGAACTTTATTTTTATCTTTATCAGAGCTCTTGCTAAGTACTCATGATTTACGGGAGAAGTGGTACTCTAAACTTCAAACCCGACTGAAAATAGCCCGAAACCTGGAAGTCTCTGGAAGCCTGGTGCTCGGCGAAAAAATTCAGTGTCAAAACAAAATGAGCCGTTTTGTAGAGAATTTAATTGTCTATCGAGTGGATACTTTCTATATTTTCTAGACAAAATTTCTAGGTCAGAAACTTGAAATTAAACTTTTCTAAAAGCTTAAACTCAATTGTTTTCGCCGAAAACCAAAATTTTGTTTTAAAAGAACACGAGATTCGTAATCAGCGTGAAAACTGCGTCTGGTGCTGTGCTTGAACCCACTTCCACAATGGAAAATAGTTTTTTAAAACTAAATCAGCGAAGTGTCACGTCACGTGGACAAGCCGTATACAGGAAGGCACAAATCCCTACCCTGAATACTAAATCTTTTTAAATTAATTACTGAGCTTTTCAAACCTTTTACTAAGCATAATATACTAAGCAATTAAATAAATGCCGCAGAATAATTATATGATTTTCATCTCTGTAGATCTGCCTGTCTGATTATGAAGAATGAATAGTCAGACATTCTAGATTATTCGATGTAAATCACATGGGATATCCTGTCTTCATCAATCCAGTTTTATACATCATACATTTATGAAACTTGTTTCCAAGTTTCACAAAATTTCGGAAACTTGGATGTTGAATTTATTAACTCAGAAGTTAGATAAAAATGAAAAATTTTATTCATACCTATCTTACTGAGATATTATCATATAAAGTTATATGTCTCTATTACAATGTCAATATTACAATTAATTAAGGAACTAATTATATGAACCTGAAACAACATAAATCACATATTTATGAATTTATGAAACTTGTAAAAAGTTTCATAAATGTGTGATTTATGAAACTGGTTTTATGAAGTCAGGATAGTCCAATCACGTATGACTCTATATAAAATTAGATATATTGTGTGGAAACGGTATGAGATATAACTACCGTGGGATTATAGGAAGTCGCATCGATTTTATAAAGAAAGTTTATTCAGAAATGTAACAGCAGAGAAATATTTTTCAAGTGAATAAAAAATGAAAAGAACGTTTATTTATTTGTTCACTCAGTTAAAGATAATGTTACAAATATCGCCACTTTGATTTTGTCTTTGAAGAGCATTAAGATCAATGCCTACCAAACAACATTTTGAATTATTGCATAAATGTGATCTGTACCACCATTGCGATTCAGATAATAATCCAGGATGTTCATCCGTAACACGTGTCAATAATCCTGTGCAAACAATCGAAGATTCGGGATCGTTAAAATCTACGATAGTTTTATTCTGATTATTAATAACCCATTCAGTAACTTGATTGTTGATATTGGAATCAATAATAGTATTATTGGCACCTAATGTTTCCGAATCTATTTTATTAATATTATTTGGACGAATACGACATTCTAATACAAATTGTACGTATTTACCTGATTTGAAAAATGTATTTTGATACGATGATTGAATTAGCTTAACTTCCGAATATCTTGGATGACATGCGTAGTTAATGGATGGAGTGACATATATTCCAGTACCATGTTGGTTTCTCTCTGCTGGTTTCAATCCACTCAATAAAATAGATAAACCATATGAAAATTTAGTACCATGATAACATATACACCATCCTTTAAATTTTTCATAAAAGTTCTCAGTAACATAAAAAGACCATCTTTGCCATCCAACAGGACAATAATAGGGTTTATTACCACGATCTTTTCCATCGTTAAGTGCACCTTGCCAATAATCATGTCCACGTGCATATATACGATTATACTGAGAATTTAGTTTAATTTCTGCACGATGTTTTTGTATTTTGAATAATGATTTAATAGGACCCATAAACATGAAAAAAAGCTTCATTTTACCAAGCTCTTTTAGTAATTTATGTGTAAATGAATGATATATCATTTTTAAAGATAATTTCTTATCTTTTGATTCAAATTTATTGTAAATTTCGGCTTCTAATATGGTTGAACCTGATTGTATTTGTTTGACCGTTATATCGTTCATCGTTAAATTTAAAAATTTATCGCAGAATTTACTTAAAAAATCTCGTAAATCGAATTTATTACAGTCTTCATCGATACCAAATTTGATTGATGATGATGATAGTTCAATATTATTGTCCAGAACTTCATCAGAAACTGATATTAATGGTTGTTCTGTCAGGTGATAAAATACTTTACATTCTTCATAATAATTTCTTTCTTCGTTTGATAAGGGTTGCTTTGAGAAGAATTTTTTCGTGGATAGATCGTCTCCATCATCTGCTTTTGAAATAAATAAAGAATAGCAATATTTGTAAATCGAATATAGAACTGCTATGAACAGCAGTTCTATATTCGATTTACAAATACTTATTTCCAACTGCTCTACCAACAAATTTCATAATAGCAATATTGTTAAAAAAATAATTTTTATCCGTGATATAGCGATACTACTATCAAATGCCTTGCAATTATTTCAAAATCTCTTGCAGCTTCCTGTTCCTAAAGTTACGAGTTTAAAATAGAAATCCATCAATAGTACACAGAGTTCTGCTTGAAATCAGTCAAAAGTGTTATGAAAATTTTAAAGTCTCGATAATCTGAGTCTTCTAATCCGAGTTCGAGTATCATTTAAATCTTAAACAACTATTGCGAATTTTCTTAGGCACTTCAGTAGAGTCTTTCCTACCAGTTGGTTTTATGTTTGAGTACCACTTCCACTAACGAGGGAACCGTCCGAGGTTATAAATCGACTATTTTTGCTAGAAAGACCCTAACGAATGGTGAAATATCCCAACTTTCATCCCCCTAGAGCTTTGTTGCTGGGATACTGAATTTTTAGTCAGTTTTTGCCTATAGAGCTTAGATTTCGAGCAAAATCCGACTTTCGAATTTGGATTTCAGACTTGTCACACTTGCGGCCCATGGTCATAGTAGTACGACGGAAAAATATTCGGTGCTAATGAATTTTATGAATTTGAGATATTGA